CCATAAGACCAAGCGTGTCCAATAGCTTCTGTTGAGGAAACCCAACTCAGTGTCATCTCGTGTTGGGAGTGTGTTCCCATCACCAAAGTGAGAGGATAAAAAGCCAGTAACCAGGTTGGTGAATCACTGTCAATTTACCCAGGGGAGTTGGCCAAAAACCCTGATTCCAAATCAACCAAAAAGAGCTATAAGAACCGCATACATCCACACCTGGATTGCGACAGTGATCGCCGGCTTGAGTGGGTATCGAGGTGCACTGGGCACCTTGAACATTTGACCCCGTCCAGAGGGCGTGTGATCTGATAAACTGGACATCAACCCCCAATGGATAGCGGTTTTCACACACCGCCCCGCTGCTTTGTGGGCCAGACTCCGTCGTGAATACCCAAGGAAAATTCACCTGCCTACGCCTGGGCAACCGGGTAATATTAAACTCCCAAACAAATCAAGAAACTCTCTTTTCTGAAGAGATTATGGTAATAATGATTTGTTTGGCACAGTCTGGATTCAGATGCGTGTGAAATACATGAAAAATACGCTATCCTGAGCCTGACCTCCATATTAAACGTAGATATATTCATCAACATAATGGAAATTGCACAATGTATTCGAGATAGGGTAGTGGAAAAAGTAAAGGCAAGGTTCAAACAGAACCGACTAACTTTGCACCATCTGTTGGAAAGGATGAAGTAGGTGTTGACGTTCTCCTCGCCGAATTGTTCCGCAATCGACAGACCAACACTGCCGTATTTGTCATAAATGTTTCGTTTTATTGGATCCGACAGCGTGCGATAAGCCCGATTAATTTCTTTGAACTATGAACAGACCGGGATGAGTGCTTGTGTGAATCAACTTACGATTTCCACGGCAGATGGATTGTCCAAATTTTTGTCGGGGTGGAATCGTAACGCAAGCTGGAACGTACAGAATGTGGGGAAATGCAATAATACGAAAGTAAAACTTGTTGATCAACTGAAGCAGCACTGTAGTGATGCATCTGTTGCCCAACCGAATTCATGCGTCAATATAAATGAGATTACAACCGGAAGTTTAAATAAAAACACGATGCTAACACGCTGTCACTACGCAACGCCCAGATGTGACAAACAATGAGGCTGAAGCTCACACAGAATCTGTATTCCGTATCGAAGGTAGTAAAGTTGACACCAGTTATATTCGGCATGTGAATAGTGGATTCATTACTACGTACAGTTCACAATGTGGCCCATTACGATCAAAAGGAAACTCAAGGGTAAATTACATATATGGCAAATACTATATATATGGCGCAGTGGTTTAGTCGCTGATACTGGCGTGCTTTGGACCCGAGGGTCCGAGCCCCAGAAACACCATCCGGCTTTGGTGGTAGGCAACTTTGCTGCCATCCGGTTCAACACCACGCCTAACCTAATGCGGTCCTATATGGTCCTCCACTCCAAATCCCGGGGCTTAGGTTGCCGGTTTTCATCACTGAACAGCAGATCTTCGTGATTATTGGGTTTACTTTATCTGCTGTTCATCGTACAAGTATGTGCATTAAGAATATATATATATATATATATTTCACAGTAGTCTGTGATTGTGTGCAAAACTCACGGTTAGTGAGCGCGAATCCGCCAAGTCAGATTATTTTTACAGGGTCATCAACCACTCAGGGAAACGCGAAGGCTGTAGTCCACTAGGACTCAGTGACTGAACTATCAGCTCGTGCAAGCTACGAGTAAGGGTACACATGACAGCGACCTTCGTGTCGAATTGAGGTAATTCAGTTGTTTTAGGCTTGCACAGTTCTATCAGCTGCGTGAAACCATCTACCCTAGTGAGAATTAAACTCGGGGCCTCACAAGTGAAACGCGAACATGCCAACCACTTGATTACTGAGCAACTGATATTTTTCTTACCCTGTTATTCACGATATAGCACAATATTAGTAACCTATTTTGTAATCAACCAACCCCTATGAACAGCCAAATAACAATTGTCGGAGATTTCAATGCCCACAACAAAGAATGATTGAAGCACTCCTCAGACACTTCGTTCACGGGACGCAAAACCAAGACCGATCACGACCACAATGTCATTAGCACTTGTATTGTCCCGATCTCAGACTCATCTCTGCATGGGGTTCTACCAACCATGTGTTTTAATGCTTCCAAAACTCCTCTCCCCTTCGCCTCCTCAAACATGTCCCTTATTCTCCCCAATTCACTTTTGACTCGCTGCCCCTTTGTTCCACCAATTCTTTCCTTCCTGGGTTTGTCTGTAAATTCTTTTCTCTGTTGGTCCTCTTTTATTGTCGCAGTGTTTTCTATTCCGTTCAAAGCGCTCCTCTATACCCAAGCATCTCCTTTGACACAAAGATCGAATCCGCTAGATGTTCGAAAACTAGTGACGTGTGGAGTGAGGCTTCTTATTTCGCCCTTTCTCTCTTTGGTCGTGCTTAACTAAAGGTCATCCTGCTGATCGTTTCTGTCCACAAGTATCATACCTCTATCTGTCAGTTTTCTTTCACCCTGAGGATTGCGAAATTGCGTGTTTCCACGAGCTAATAACCTTACTCTTCGAGTGTGGGATTAACAATTTGAATCTCATTTGAATGCTCCCCACATACCTTCCCCTTACGATATATACATATATGCGTCTGAAAGCCACAGTTTGGTCGGGATGGGTGTCTAGGATTGCGGCTGGTCACCCTTATCTTGAACCTCGCGAAATGCTCCCATACGACACCAAGCCTCTGCTGAGGAAGCCCTACCACTGCCCAAAAATGGAGAAAGTATCTCCCACCAAAGTGAGAGGACGAAATACACAAGTAAAAAATGATTCCATACGGCATCGGTCGTCGCGCAGGATAATCAGGACCGCGCTATCCATTGTATCGAGCGGGGTGGGTAGTGATAAGTGGGCTACTACTCAGATATCCCTACCATTGTTTAACTCTATCCTCCCTACCCAACCCTCTCCCTTTACCCTTTCTTCCAACCCGTAACATTCCCTCAGACAACTTGTTCGTCACTCGCCAAAGTTCGTTGCCAAGCGGTCCGGTAAGTAGTTCACCACAAAATAGGGTACAGATTCTGAAGTCTCGTTAACCTCTCAATCTGGAAGCCTTCAACGTGAGTACTCTAATGCAAGTGGGTTAGCAAACGTGTCTTGCGCGTGCAATGGAATCTTTAGAAATTGATATCTGTTGCGTATCGGAGATACGAATACAGGATTCTAGTATCATAAACCACCTGAGTGTGCCGAATCCGTCCTCCAGTTAGTTTCTTCGTACATCAGGAGACGACGAAATGAACAGTGCAGCTGGCCTGCCGCTAGCCAGGTTACTTCATCTGTATCTAAAGCACCGTGAGCAGTGTCGTGCGATTCTTCAGCAGAAGCAAAAGTTTGGTCTCGCATTCCGGCTCTGAAACGAGGATAGGCAGCAGGAGCGGATGAACTCCCTCCTACTCTCTTCAAGATGGAAGTGATAATCCCGTAAGGTCCATTACTACCGTACTGCTCAATATTTGGACGCAAAAACGTATTCCTTCGTCTTGGGGCGAATCACTGATCGTTCACATTTTCAAGAAAGGATCTCGCAACGATTGCGAAAACAACTGCGGGATCAGTTTGATCCCGATCGTCACCAAAGTGCTAGCCTCGACCATACCTCAACGGGTGACCCCTTTAAGAGATCACTATCCGTGAACAGTAAGTCGGATCCCGCCCTGCCGAGGATGTATTGATCACATCTTTACGTTGCGTCAGATCCTTGAGCCGCGTCACACCCACCATCGACCAACGATCGCAGTGTTTCTTGACCTGAAAGGAGCGTTCGACTGACAAGACAGCGAAGTTTTGACGGGTTCCCTTCTTCGGAAAGGAATGCCCCAGAAGTACGTTTACTTACTGTGGTCATTTTACGCACATACCTCTGGACGAATGAGGGTTTACAATGACCCGAGTAGGCCGTTCGTCAAGGGTGCCTTCTTTCACCGCTCTTGTTCAATTTCGTCGTAGACGAAATTATGGAGAACACACTGTGCTCTCCAAAATGTAGGTTTTGTATGAGCAGGTGGAGAAAAGCTGTGTGATTTGGATTACGCCGATGGCATCTTCTGTCTGTTCTAATATATGGAGGACGCGAAGTGCACTTGATAGACTAAAAAGTGCGGTTGCCACATTCGGTATGTGCTTTGCACCTTCAAAGTGCAAATTGATGGTACGGAATTGAGAGTGCCTACTCCCGTCTTGAAACTAAATGGCCAGGAATTAATTTTAGTGGATTACTTTTCGTACTTAGATAGTTCCGTGACCAATGATGGAGGCGCAACAAAGGAAATAACCGCTTGCATTTCCAAGGCTCGAGCAGCATACGCAGGACTGAAACACCTTCGG